GCTATGCTCTCTATGTCATTGCTGTGCGCTTGTCCGTAAAGCACACCCAGGGTCGTAAAGCATAGCGCCACCAGCTAACTTCTGATTGGTTCCTTGTCACAAGGCAGGCATCTGACTTTCTAGTGACTAAGACAAGGTCATAGAGCACGTGTTCGGCCGTTATGGCTGCCAAAAGGGAAGCTGGTCCCTTCAAGACTACAGGTGTGCACCGTCACACCTGGCTTGTGTGACTTTTTGTTTGGGTTTGGTTTTTGGGTTTTCAAGATAGGGTTTCTCTGTGGCTTTGGAGGCTGTCCTGGAACTAGTTCTTGTAGACCAGGCTGGTCTTGAACTCACAGAGATCTGCCTGCCTCTGCCTCCCAAGTACTGGGATTAAAGGCATGCACCACCACCGCCCAGCTGCTTGTGTGACTTTTAAAAGAAGTGCTAAGAATAGAACCCTGGACCCAGAGCACATTAGATAAGCGGTCTAACACAGAGACCCATTCCCCACCCCCAGGACATCCTTTTAAATGGAAGACGTATGTTTGTTTATTTGAGTATGGGGGTGTTGTTGTTTGTTGGTTGGTTGGTTTTGAAAGACAGGGTTTCTCTGTGTAGCCTTGGCTGTCTTGGAACTTACTGTGGACCAGGCTGCTCTGTCTTCTGAGTGCTGGGATTAAAGGAGTGTACCGCCACTGCCTGGCACCCGTGGAAGATTTTAGTCAATTAAGAACAAACACTTGTTTCCCTTCCAATCTATTCCTTGAGTTTAGCTTCACACATTGCCCCCCATGTGTGAAAGACACCCAGGACTGGCAGGCAACTAGTGGAACAACAGGAGTACAGAATTCTTGACCACTGAACTGTCACCCCAGCTGCCCCCTGGATATTTCTTTCCACATCTTTTGGAGTTGTATCTTCCATGCCCAATTTAAAGTGCTTTTAAATCACAAGTCTTTATTGAGCTTTCATAAAAAGCAAATCTCTTCCTTTGTGCTCATATTTCACCAGCTTGTGGGATGCCTAATTCAATTGCCTCTTTACAAAAACCAGTGTGGCTAGTGCAAACCAGTTTGGAAACAAACCCAATAGACTCTTGGCAAGCATGCAATTTGATGGCAGAAAGCCAGAGGGGACAAGGGTGCCAGAGAATAGCCTGCTGGCCACTCAGCAGGCGTGTGGCTGGAGTGTCCCATTCAAACAGTCTGTAGAGCCCCGATTAGGGGGTAAGCTGATTAAACAGATTGCTAACAAGAATTTTGTTGTCACCCTAACTTTAGCAAAGGCTCCATAGTGTGGTATTGACTTAGGGAGACACCTGCTCAGCAAGACAATTCATTCGCCAGCCTGTCTTACAGCCACATGTGATTTTGGGATAAGCCTCACCAATGGAGTGCAAGTTAAAGTACAGGTTCCAGGAATGGCCTCTAGGGGATAAGGAGAATTCTCCATCTCTGTCTGCAGTATAGATGCAAAGGACCCTGTGCCCTGGGAAGTGGTGGGTCACCATGTAAGTGGCCAGGAGCTTCAGGTGAAGGAAAGCCGGCATCCCGTCAGAATGCTTGCCTGGTTTATTAAGGCAGCTAGCGTCACACGGTGACAACTAACCATGTAAGTGGTTGTGACAGTCAAATTAGATGATACAAACACAATAGACTCCTGAGTGGCACTTCCTACTGTTTCAGGTTCCCAGATACAGCTGAGGTCAAACACAAGGTACTGAGAATCCCTATGTTCCAGAAAGTTCCAAGACTCACCTGCAGGCCCTTCTTAGAAACATTCTACTGCAATGAACTAGGGGGTTCCTAGTGCAACCCCCTCAGTCTACATAGTAAAGTCAAGGGCAAGTTTCCAGGGCCAGGGAACAGGTTTAGGTCCTGGGCCTACATTATACCAACTGTGAGACCCTGGTAAAATTGTGTCAGCTCTCTGGGTGGCATTAAATGATAGTATCTATCACCTTGTTGCCTTATAAAATTCCCCAAATAAACAGAGACTGTGAGGCCAGCTTGAGTCATGGCTTCGTGTTCTATTCCATGATCCCTCTGTCCTCTGCCCCCCTTTTCTCCCTGATTCCTGATCCCATCAATCACTATTTACATAGGTCTGTTTGTTGTCTACTTGGAAGCCAGAGTAGTTTTGGCTCAGAGAAAAGTGAGACTGAGAGTCACAAAGAATAACAAGAGCCATCCAGGTCAGAGCAGGCAGTCTGGGGAAAGCTTAGAGGGGACAATCTGGCCAGGAGGGGATGCCATAGCCATCTGGGGTGTCTCAGCACAAAGGATCTGGAAGACACAGTAGGCCTGGGAGCCGTGGAAATCTGGTCCAGTCGGGTGGAGGCTTATCTCAAGGTCCCAGAGGACTTTAAACAGAGTCACTTGGCCATGGTTGTGCTTATAAAGGTCTTCCTTGGTATGCAGTGTGGCCAATGGGAGAAGGCAATCATGATGGGTCATCCATCCGACAGACAACGTACCCTGCCTCAGGGCCTGATGATTAAATAATACATTTGACACAAATAGAAAAACAGCAAAATACCCTCCCCCCAAGAAGGGCAAAATTATCACCACCTCACACGGAAGCTTGGGGCAGGCCTCAAATAGACTGCACTTTTACATCTGGGCAACAGGGGGCGGCAGTGACCTCTAGTTCCAGGACTTCCATCAGCTGGCAGCCTCTTCACTATTCACACTTAGAAATATCACTGGTGGCAGCACCATGTTACTGGTTCCTCTTCCAAAGCCCATTTGAAGCCATTAATAATACACAGATTTTAGCGAAGTGGGGGCGGCGGGTTGTGGGGGGAGACAGGCTGTTCTTAAACAATCAACAATTGACCACTGTGCAGGGATAATTGATAATAGTTCAGCTAAAGTTAAGAAAGAAAAGGGAGGGAAGGAAAAAGACAAAATGGGAGGAAGGGAGAGGGGAGAGAAGAGAGATTAAAAACAAAGAGGAGGGGAAAGACAGAGGGGAAGACTAAGAGAGAAAGAGGAGAGAGGCAGGTGGGGTGGGGGGTAGAGCACTCAGGCCGTGGGTTTGGCTGGTTCTGAGCCTCCCAGCCCTGATAGTTACTGTAATTTTTTCCAATTTCAGTTTCTCCTCTGTAGAGCAGGAATCCCTTCAAGTACCTCTCATTTCATAAGGTCATGGAGAGGCAGACCATGACACAGAGAATGCTCACTAGACGACGGTACTGTGCTATCCTGGTGCCAACCCCTGGGCAAGGTCTACAGGACCAGATTCTCTAGAGTTGTTGCCAGTTAGAACAGGGAGGCCGCTGGGCATCTTGGCAGGCCAGGGCTCTCTCTCTCTCTCTCTCTCTCTCTCTCTCTCTCTCTCTCTCTCTCTCTCTCTCCCCCTTCCACTAAGGGAGCCCCATCTTCATTATCTCCCTCAACATGCAAGAAAATGGGGTGCCCTGGTCCACAGAGACTGGCCCCCTGCTGGGAGCTTCAGCCATAGCCAACAGAGAAGTCTCCAGAGAGCAAAGGGTCCATGACTCGCAGCTCCCCTGCTGCTCCAACCCAGCACTAAGGAAGTGAGTGCAAACACTTTCCTAGGGTTCAGCATGCCAGACCCAGGAAGCTCAGCTGTGAAAGCCCAACGGAGGAAGGTCAGAAGGTATTCATCTATGAGCCCAGCTCCATCTCTTCACACAGGGAAGGCGCTCGTCCCTGCCCTCCACCGTTCTGACTACACAGAATTACGAAGGATGCCCTTCCCTTCTCTCTTTGTTGACTCTGGGAGACTGGCAGCCTTAAATCCTGAGGTTCATTCTCCTCTTGCCTTCAGGCCAGCTTTTGGTTTGGCAACCTTGCCCCACCAGTGGGAGGCTGCTCTCACTTCTAGATGTGGTGCTGAGCTTGTTTCTCTAGTTGGTTTCTCGGATGGCCTCAGTACCTACACTGAGCATTTCTTCTTTTTTGAGTCTGTTGAATGGGACAAGTCAGTCATTAAAGAGCACATGGCTTCAAATGTACAAAGCTCAGGGACAGGCAAACTCACACTTGGGGAGATGGAAATCAGATAGGACAGGGTTTATCTGATCACCAGAAGGGGACAGCAAGAAGAGCAGCACTTTCCTGAGGTGATGGGAACACTATATACCTGGATGGAAGTGTTGGTTACACGGTGCACGGTTGTAAAGGCTAAAGACAGGTTTGTAGCTTGTGCATCTAACTGTGTGAATTACATACATCTCAACAAAGTTTCATAGGGAAAAATCACTACTTAAGCACAAAGACTATTTTTGTTTGTTTTAGTTTCTGGTTTTTGATCAGGATCTCATTCTGTAGCTCTGGCTGGCCTGGAACCCAATATGTAGACCAGGCTGGCCTCGAACTCACAGAGATCCATCTACATGCCTTTTCCTTGGAGTTCTGGAATTAGAGGCATGTGCTGCCACACTGGCCAGAGACTTCTCTGATTGCCTCGCTTGATGATAACACCAGTTTAAAAAGAATTTGTTGCCAGACGTGGTGGCACACACCTTTAATCGAAGCACTTGGAAGGCAGACTCAGGTGGATCTCTGAGTTTGAGGCCAGTCTGGTCTACACAGCAAGTTCCAAAACAGCCAAGGTTGTTACACAAAGAAACCTTGTCTTGAAAAACAAAAACAAACAAACAAAAGTATTTGTTGTTTGTGGTGTTTGTGTATGTGTGGTATATGCGTGTGTGCACATGCATGTGTCCTGTGTGTCCAAGAGTGTATGTGTGCATGTGTAGGACCTCAGGCATTGCTCCTTGGGAGCTGTCCCGTTTTATGAGACAGTGTCTCCCACAGGCCTAGAATTTACTAAGTAGCCTATGCTGACTGGCCTTGGAGCCCTAGGAGTCCTCCTGCCTCTGATTCCTCAATACAGGTATCACAAGGCAGTACCACCACACCTGGCTTTTGTATGTAGGGTCCAGGGATTCATCTGGGGTCTCATGCTTTCTTGACAAAAATTTTACCAATGAGGCTGTCTCCCCGGCCCCCACTCCTATTTTTAAAATAAAAACTAAGTGGACCATGTAAGAGGATGTAAATTTTATATTTAGGTGGGGGGTTTGTTTGTTTTGGTTGACATGAAAACACAGGACACCAAACAAAATTCCACACGTGGTTTGGCTGTTTATTCCAGGCTGGTCGTGTCCTTCAGAGGACAGTCTGCTGTCCCTTGTCTTTCTCCTACTGAAGAGCCCTGGCCTACCAGAAGTGTGGAGCTGTGAACCTCCTGCTTTTTGGGTGCTTAAGAAATGTGTGTTCTTACAAATAGAGTGAAGTTCGTGGGTCTTGTAGATACTCCTTGGGGCAGTATGATTTCATCTCTTCATGTTCACAGAGAATTCTGCCACTGAATTCTTCCCAGGCAGGCAGAGTATTCTCAGATCAGGGAAGCCAAGCCCATGAGTCCACCTATAATTTTGACTTTGGAGACATGTGCACAGAAGTCCCAGAGGGGATTGGGGGTTTCAGACAATCTGATGCCTGGTACCCCCTTGTTCCCATTGTCCCCAGCATGGTGGCCAGGCTTTCCCAGCTCAGCTTAGCTGTAAAGACCCTTTCAGTGGTCTTTTTCATACTGGGAAGTCTGGAGAGAAAGTTGTCCTGTGTGCATGTTTGATAAGGAACTAGCCAGGGGAACCCAGAAGCCTGGGTCTGAATTAGAAAATGGAGCTGGTCATCCCTCAGTAGCACTGGACAGTGAACCCAACCAGGACAGTTAACTGCAGCCAAGAGCATGGAAAGGGACATGTGCCATCAGTCCAGGGCCGAGTCCCAGGGACACCCACTGAGAATGGCAGGCTCTGTATCTCCATCCCCAGTTGGCTCTAGAAGGCACCGTTCCATGAGCTGCGACTCCTGGCTGCCAGGCAGGGTCTGGGCAGACACAGGCGGCGCTGGATCTCCAGTTGACAGAATCGGTTCTGGTTGGAAACTCGAGTGGCTATACCCAGCCCACAGGTGGTTGAGCAGGGGCCCCAGGCTGTGCTAATTTTTGGACAGGGGACATCAGCAGATGCAGGAGTGACAAGGCCAGAAAGCTGGTGTCCTGGGGGATGAAAAGAAGAGGGTGAACATAGAGAGGTCGGGGATCTGCAGGCAAGTCTGCTCACTTGCTAGCCATCACAGGGTTCCTGGCAGAGCTGCTTAGCCTTAGTTTCTTCCTGAACTTCCTAACATTTGGGGTTGAATAGAACAACCGCTGGGGACTCTAAGTGCAGTGCACCCAGCTGACATTGGACACGAGATAACTAAAAAGGGACATCTTTCTTTTTTCTCTACTTTCCTACTCCCTGATATATAGTATCATGCAGACACACTTGTGTGGCACTGTAACTTGGTGACAATAATGCTGAAGGACCCAAGATGACAGGCTCACCAAGGCCTATCTCCTCTCTTCTGTTTGATATCCTTCCTTCTAGCCTGAGGACCAAGAGCACATCTGGCAAAGACTAGAGAGATTTTCAGTTGTCACAGTCAATATATACAAGGTTTTTTTTTTTTTTTTTTTTTTTTTTTTTTTTTGAGGTTGGGAGTGGGGGTTGATGCTGACATCCAGAGTGTAGAGGCCAGGTTGTCTTTCTGCAACCCACAACATACCCAACAGCCCCCAACCACATAGAGTGACTCATCCCAAATGTCACTGGTGCTGCTGATGAAACACCTGCTTTGTACACACAGGCATCATGTGTTTATGTGTCAGAGCAGGAGGTGTTGATCAAGGACTGCTCAAGATACCAAGTCACAATGTTGCCGGCATCCCTGTCCGAAGGTGCAGTGTTTGCACAGAAACCACACACACCCTCCTAGGAACACAGGTCACCTCCGGGTCACTAAAGCTAGCTAAATGGGAATGTTATTGAATAGTTGTGAAGCCGTCTTTGCTAAGAAATAGTCTCAAGAATAAAAAAAAGTCTGTGCATGCTCAGTACAGACTCAATTGCAAAGCTATTCTTGATGAGCAGCTGGTTGAATCCTCAGGTACAGAGGACCAACTGTATGTTCATGACTCTGTTCATGTGCACACAATGGAGGTCAAATGGGAGGTAGGGCTTTTATCTTGCTTTTTAATGTGTAAGTGGAGGGCTAGCAGCATGGCTCTGAGGTACAGAATTTGCCTAGTGTGTCAAGGTTCTAGGTCAATCCCAAGTACTATGGGGGAGGTGTGAAATAACTGTGGCCAGCTAGATGACTCTCTCCTATGTGTGTAACCTGATGTGTCCTATGTCCTGATGGAGATAATGGTGGCCAGAGCACTTATGCAGTGTTAGCCTCAGATACCTTTACAAACCCTTTACTTGACCTAATTCATTTTGTGCTCGCCACAGTTCTAAAAGGTGGGTGTTCTTATTAGTTCCGCTTTATAGCTGGAGAAACTGAGGCAGGGAACTTCAACAGCTTTCTCAGAGTCACACAGCAAGCAAGACCAGAGCTGGGTTTAGTCACCTTCCCCACTCAATTCATGTGATATCAATAACATTTTTTAAGACACAGGACAACAAAATCCCAAAGTTGAAAAGTTTGTAGAAGGATGCAGCTGTCTCGTCTGTACCCGGCCCTGGGCTATGTCCCAAATTGCAGTCCTGCCTGCTTCAGCTTTTACCTAACCATTTACTAAATCCAGACAATCATGTACTCATAATATTGTAAACTGTCCACATGTATTAAGTAGCATAAATATATGTTCTATATGTGTGTGTATATTTTGTCACATTATGTTAGTCTATACTATATTTATTATCTACACTATATTATTTATATTGCTGCTGTGAGATGCACAAATTTAGCTGGAGCATTAACACTCCTCCCTCCTCTCCACTCTGTCGCCTGAACGTGAACTCTTATTTTTTTTAGATCTATTTTTATTTTATGTGTGTATGTTTTGCCTCACATACGTATGCATACCTTGTGTGTGCCTGGTGCCCACAGTGGTCAGAAGAGGACATCAGAAGCCCTTGAACTAGAGTTACGAAAGGTTGTGAGCTACCATATTGGTGCTAGGTACTGAACCAGGGTCCCCACACCATATCTCAAGTCCATCAAACCTTATTTTAAATGATTTATTAGCTGAAATTACATATCTAAGTGGTTGCCTCTTGTTCTGTCAGTTTCTAGGAGGCTCTTGCAGTATCCCAAAATCCTGTCCCCAACCCCAGCAGCTGAGGCTTCCGTGCCTGGGCCTACCCTATACTCACTCACCTTGGGCTGTGTGAGGCTGGATCCTCGGCGTCACTCCCTGGTCACACACCCACTCAGGACAGCACCTACCAGGCACCTCTACTCTCCTAGGGCGTGGGCAGTCCCAGCTGGGCAGCCGTACATCCTCACTGCACAGCGGCAGGCAGGTGAAGCCACCATCATTGCAGCGGCAGAGGACCCTGCAGTTGGGCTGAAATGTCTCCCCATCCAGGTACCTGTGGCCGTTCACCTCACAGCTTCCATCCTCCTCTTCCACTGCATAGAGAGGAGAAAGCAAACCAGCTCTGGGTCCTGAGGGCGGAGCACAAGACAGGCACCCTGCCCCAGCCCCTCCCCCATTGGCCTTCCTTCATCCTCAGCAAGACAGAGAGGTATCCAGAAGCCTAGCTTGGACCCCAGCTCTAAATTTTCTTAACAATGGACCAAGTGATTTCACTTCTTGCCTCAGTTTCTCTATACGAAAAATAGTGCATGTTGGTACTTATTTCACAGTGTGTCCTAGACAAAGAAATGAAATCGTGTGTAACGAATCTGACAAAATGAAGCCTTGGGTAACGGGATGGGGCTCGGTTGGTAGAGCGCTTACCCAGCATTGACTGAGTTCAATCTCCAGCATTGTATAAACTTGGTGTGGTGGCATGCTTGGTGGCACTCCTGCAATCCTAGCGCTTGGGAGGTAGTGGCAAGAGAGTCAGGAGTTCAAGGCCAGCCTGGGCTAGAGACTCTGTGAAGTTAGTGATATTTAGTGTTTATCAGTGAAGCACACTGGGCCTGGGGTTTCATGTAACACCCTCTCTGTCCTTTTCCTGTGTGAGGTCATCACTGTCTGCCAAGGTTTAACTTGCTGGCCATGGGACTTTGCAGTAGCTACTTAAATTCTCTGAGTGGCCCCATCACTGCCTCTTTGGAGAGCTAGAGCCCAGAGTGCTCCTCCTCCTCGCATCCCCTTATTTCTCCAGAGAGGACAACTGTATCAGCTCCCTGTCCCCACTGCCTCCAGATCACAGCCCCTTGGATACAAATATTAGACCTTCTGACCTGGTTGCCAGTGGTTCCCTAGAAACCACACAGGTAGCTGTGCCCTTACTCCCTATCTGGCCTTCGCTACCTCTGGGTTCACCCCAGCACACCCATCACACACACACATACACACACACACACACCCCTCCTGACCTCCACTGCCTCAGCTTTGGGCCCCTAGTTGTCAGGATGACCTGGTAAACAGAGGTGTGTTTATTTAGGAAAGTCAACTGGAGGCTGATAATTTTAGCAGGAGTTCCTGGCACTCAGAGGCCATCAGCTGGGAGCTGGCTGGGTATGGAGCGAGTAGGGCTGGGCAGCCAATAGTGTAGATGCCCTGTAAGAGGTGCCTTGAAATTGCAAACCCCAAGAACTATCTTGGGATTCTCCCTCCCATGTCCAGCTGCCCAACTCTTGTTTCTTCCAAGCTTTCTTCAGGGTCCCCTCTGCCAACAACCTCCCATATTCTCCCATGACAGCAGTCTTCACCTGAGGTCCCCAGGCTCCCCTGAGCACAAGCCACAGGCTTGCCATCTGGGGACTCTCAGTGCCCTTTCTCCCCTCTGGAAGTCACTGTCAAGGGCAGGAATCACAGAGCTATTGTTTTTTCCCTCCCGCCACTTGTAAGCTGTGTGACCTATGTAAGCAACTTGAGACTCTCTGAGCTGAGCTCCCTTGCCCGCAAAATAAGGGCAGCATTAGGATCTACCACAGTGTCAAGGACAAAGCAAAATTGGCTTGTAAAGCATTTCCCCACTGGACTTACTCAACAAAGGGCTCCTGTTACTGCCAGCCCTACTAGAACCTCTGCTGTCATCCACGGAATGCCACAGATATTTGCTGAGCACCTACTGGGGCCTAGGCTGCGTGCCAAGCAGTTGTAATTCAGGATATGTGCACAAATGGGCAAACATCCTCCCCGTAGGAGCACTCAGATGAAAATAAACACAGCCAACGAGGCGACATTGTGCTGGCTGGTGACCTGGCCTAGAGAAACCAAGGTGCCAGCAAGGAATTGCAATTTTTAAAATATGGTGCCAGGGCCTCATGGATGAAATAGTGTGTGAGCAGGAATGGGAAGGAAGGAGATAACTTCCCATGTGTGTATCTGGGGAAAGAGTGAGGGCAGAGGAACCACCAGGGCAAAGGCCCTGAGGTTGAGACCATGATTTGGGTGTTCAAGGCCAGTGTGGCTGGAGCAGAGAACAGGAGCAAGAGAGAGGATGAGGTCATTTTTTGTCAAAGTGTGAAGCACACTTAGATGAAATAGATTAATTGTAAAAATCTAAACCTTTGTTTCTCTAAAGTTCTCAACTGGGGTGACTTTGCTCTTCAGTGACCTTGGCAAGGTCACACCTGGTAGCTGATTCTGGCACCTCATAGGCACAGAGGGTGGTGCTGATTGTCAGGCCACAGAGAGCCTTTCCCAACAGTGGCCCTGTACATAGTCATCAAATCCCACCCCAGGGTGTCAGAGGACACTCAGGCCTGAACGAGTAGTGAGGAATGTCACACATCCAATGCCACTAGGAAACAGCACTGGGGTTTACACTGTAGCCCAAGGCTCCCAGTGGGGGATGGAGGAAGTGGACGGTGACTTAAATCTGAATATAGATAGGGCTGGCTGTAGAGCCTACAGCCTGCTATCTAATGTCTCTGAGCCTCAGTTTCCCTGTCTGTAGAACTTGTACAACAGGACTATGGGCCATGGACAGTGAGTGACCAGCACTTCTCCTGGCACACACCACACCCCATTGGAGTCTGCACTCTTGCTTTCCACAGGGATGTGCTTTTGCCTTGGGGCAGCTGTTTGCCCAGCTTTGGAGCTGTGACTTGGATGGGTGTGGATGGAAATCACCACCAGGCAAGTCCCAGCAGAGGGCAAGGGGGAAGAAACAGGGAGTGGGCCCAGGAACTCTTGTGTCACCAGTCCAGCTGAATGAACACAGTACCTAAAGTGAGCGCAAGAGAGATACAGAGAGCAGGACTCCATGTTGACTGTGAACCCCGTGGCCTTTACCACTCCCCCTCCCCAATTAGTCCAGCAAACCTACTTACAGAGGCACGTGGCCTCCCGGCCACCAGGGCCTGCCCCAGGTTGACAAACCAGGCCCTGGCTGGAGTCGCAGACATGTAGATGGTCACAGGACTCCCCCAGCCGTCGTGCACACACTTGACAGCAGCCACAGCCATCCAACACCAGGGGCACCCCTACTGGGCACTGGGGTGGTGTCCAGGGACAAGTACAGGATGTTGGACACAGCTGGGCACACACCTGAGGAGACAGAGACCTCTTAGCTTTGACTCTCAGGGAAGGGATGGAGACTCTCACAACTGGTCACTTCTTGGCCAAATCAGACCGTGTGGGACCCTTATCTTGGCCTCGGTGTCACACAGAACTGGCCTTGAGCTGGGACCGTCCCAGAGTGCCCTTCAGAGGCCACATGATGCTGTGTATTGGAGCAAGAACCCCAGGTCAGAGTTTCAGTGCTAGGCTCTGCCTTATTGGCTGGGTGGCCTGAGTGTTCCTTGAGTTCTCCAAACCTGGGTTTCCTCATTTGTAAAAGAGGGCAGGAAATGATGCCACCAACCCCTGAGCATGGGTAGGAGGTCAGCAATATGGTTTGCTTTCTTTTTGGGGGGCAGGGTGGGGGCATGTACATATGTGTGTGGTGTGCAGGTGTGTGTGTAAATGTGAAGGGATCAACATCCTGTGGCTGCATCTTTCTCCATCATTCTCCATCTTTATTTTGAGACAGGGTCTCTCATTGTGCCTGGTGATCACCAGATGGTTAGGCTGCCTAGCTAAGTGAGCCCCGAGGATCTGTTCATCTCTCTGTACCCTCAGTGCTCGGGTACAGATGTGTCTCACTGTGCCCAGCTGTTACATGCGGGTTCTGGGGAATCGATCTCAGGTCCTCAAGCCTGTGCAACAAGCACCTTAGCCACGGAGCTGTCTCCCCAGCCTCCTGAAGGTAGTTAACTCTGGTGGTCATCCTTGCTCATTACAATGAAGGCTAACCTATGAACCCACAGAAGAGTGAGACCCTGAGGGGTGAAAAGAAGCAAAGCCAATACTTCCTGGGTGAGTTCTTACCCTCAGGCTGAAGAAATCAAACAGAATGTAGAGTTTCCTGGTCTTGGCACAATCCAACATGTTTCCCAGCCCTGAGTACACATCAGATTAGCCGGGAAAAGAACAATACAGATTCCCAGGCCTCTTCTGGGACTCGGGAAACTAGAAGTCACAGAGGCAAGACCAGCAATCTATTTAAGAAGCTGGCTCTAGAAGCTTCTAGATTCGGCTAGGTTCACAGACTCTCTGGCCCAGCCCACCCCAACTCCCCACCCCCAAACCTCCACCCCATTCCCACTCTCCCCTCCCCCCCCACCACCCTGCACAGATGGGGAAGTTGACTCCAAAGGGGAAAAGTGATTGCTCACAGCCAGATCTGGGAGCTGTGCCAAGCCCTGATGTACACTCATGGCCCAGAGAAAATCTGAGCCAGGGGCTGGGCGTTGGTGGTGCACGCCTTTAATCCCAGCACTCGGGAGGCAGAGGCAGGTGGATCTCTGTGAGTTTGAGGCCAGCCTGGTCTATAAGAGCTAGTTCCAGGACAGGCTGCAAAGCAATACAGAGAAACCCTGTCTCGGAATAATAATAATAATAATAATAATAATAATAATAATAATAATAATAATAATACTGAGCCAGGGGCTCAGTACCCATTCATTGCAGAGCCAAGGCTTCACCCCGATGACACACCTGTGCCTCCCACCCAGAACAGAAATACCCAAATGAAGTGCCAGAAGCCATGGGCTCCCGAGAGGGTGGGGACTGTGATGTAGGTACCACTCAAGATGTTCCTGACTGCCTGCCCCGGCAGTGGAGGATCAATCTTTAGCAGGAGTAGACAGCTTTAGATGAAGGATTTGTGATTTAGCAAAAGAAAACTAAAGACTCAGAGTCTCCTGGTTGGCCCAAACAGGCCCCCCCCATCCTGTCCACCCCTAGACCCAGAGTTCCCCCAAACCTGCTTTCCAGGGCCCGCAGTTCTCACTGTGGCCAGCAGGGGCCGCCACAGAATAGCTGCCCATCCTTGACCAGAGGCTCCCACCTAAGGCAGGGCACTGCAAATTTTGAGGTTCCAAAGGATTCCTGGACCAGCAGCCTCTGGAAGCTTGTAATGAACACACACTGTCACCTCTCCAGGCCTTCTGGGATATAACACATTCTGGGGTACCTCACTCGGAGCTAGACTGCAAGGAAGGAGGTAGGACTTCAGAGCAGGGTTTTAACTCCCTTTGCTGACCAGAACAAGCCTTCTACTGAGCCCAGGTCTGCTGCAGGCCCCCAGTAGCTCCCGGCTTCTTCAGGTCCCAACTCCAGGACAACCCACTAACTACACCAGTTACTCCGGGTGCTTCGTGGGCAAGCTGTCCGTTAGCACTCTCCTGTGAGGTCTGATTTAATGATAATGAAATAACACTTGGGAGACTGAGGCAGGAGAATTGCCTCAAGTTTGAACTCAGCCAAAGCTGTATAGTGAGTTCCAGGCCAGCCTGGGCTACAGAGGCTATTTGGTTCAAAATAACGTCCAAAACAATAATGGCAAAACAGGTTGAAATCAGGAAGTAAACAGCTGGAAAGTGGTGGGATGGGACCAGAATCCAGGTTCCTGGGAAGCCTGAGCCCTAACTTAGCTCTTGTGCCTACCTGTTACCCTCCAGGGGCTCCTCCATTAACAGTTAATCCCCTGCCTCAGCCTACTCATTTGTGAAAGGACAGTGACAAGACAGGGCAAGTGTTCTTGCCTGGCCTACGGAAGAGGCGGCCCCTCTGGCCTCCCTGCTCTCCTGTGCCCTCTCTGTGTCCATATTCAAGCTGTCTCAACAGGGCATCGTTGTTTCCAGGTTCCCTGTTCTGGACCCAGTCCAGAGCCAGGAGCCCACGGCCTGCCCAGAAGACCTGGAACTCCTGTCCCTGGGAAGGAGGCAACTTCACATATTCTCCGTGACTACATCCCTGGGTTTCTGTGCCAGGTGTCAATCAACTTACTGGGACTGGGAAAGAATGGCCTCACAGATGTCACTCCTGTGGTGAATCTAGGGCAGCTCTTCCTCGGCCTCTCAGAACACTTCTCCCTCCCGGGGGCCCAGGACACTAAGCCACCCACTCCGGCATCTTATTCCGCCCATCCCCTTCCAAGACTGGAAGCCAGTTGGTCCTGACCTTTCCAGGGAGACTTCTTGAGGCCAGGGAGGGAGAAGTTTATGCCCTCACTCCATTGGCCCCAGGCCCTAACTCCGTGTTACTGGGAACTCAACATTTAGTGTGAAGCATTGCCCAGGTTGGGGTGGAGGCACAGACTGGGGTGTCCTCAGAACATATCCGTCCCAGGCTCCATCATTCTATTCCTCTATTGTTCTATGTCTTTGCTGTGTGGCTTTGGGAAATTGCTTACCCTCTCTGAGTCTCATTTCACTAAAACAGCAAAACATCTTGTAAGACTGTTGTGAATGTGAGGCAAGGTGGAGCTACCCACAAGCCCATCAAAAAATGTCCCACGTGACACTGAGGGACATTTACCCACAGAGATATCTCCTGCTGTCTCTGACCAGGGTCAGAGGGTCATTGACTGCCTGAGGGCCAGCACTCTGTGCCCTTACAGACTGTACTTTGCAATCACACCCCAACATCCATCCCTGTCCTGGTTTACTGTTGCACAACACTTAATCTGATTTTGCTTCTGCAGAGGAAACTGTAGGGTCCCTGCCTGGTCACTGTCCTCTTTAGGACACTCATCTTGGTCCAGGGCCTGTGCTACCCTCTGCAGAGCAATTCTCCTCAATGATCTGACCAAGGGAAATCTTGTACCCATTCAACTGAGGCCGAGGCCCAGAAAGGGAAGGGCACATGCCTGAAGTCAAACAGCAGAACTTGCAAGGAGCAGCTGTCTGAGTCCAGGAAGGAAGCAAGTCCGGGCACAGAGAATGACTTTATCCAGTGTTGGAACCCACTAAGGGTCCTAAGTTGTGACCGTATGTCTGTGCACCCAGAGTTCTACTTTTAAAGACCAGGATTCCTTACCATTGAGAGTAGACAAAGGAAGGAGATGGCCAGAAGATGGGTCAGTGGGGTGTCCCTCATGTCACCGTGTCCCTTGTGGAGCCAGCTTCAAACCTGGGAGGCAAGACCTGAGTCTTTATGTTCTAGAGGCTATGGAGTTCCTACTAGTTACATACACAGAGGAGAGGGGGAGGAGAGACAGACAGACAGACAGACAGACAGACAGACAGACAGACAGACACACACACACACACACACACACACACACACACACACAC